TATCTTCTCTATTGTTGCCTTGGAGTGTTATAAAAATCCTTGGCCACAATTTAAGTTCTTACATGTTTGTATCTTGACTCTTCAAATTTGCAATAGGATGCTAAACTCCTTGAGGGCAAAAACCTTGTATTAAGCCTGAAATAAAAGGTTTAAATTAGTGTGTGTATATATTACAGCCATGATCCATCTGGAAACAAGCATAAATCCATCCCAAATTGAAAAAGAAATGCTGAGGGCCATTAAAAAGTACTAAGATGGATGGCATTGGTCTTAAGTCAGTAGAATAAACTGCTCAATTAGAGATTATTCCATTGCTTTTCTCTGTTTTTCCAACTCGTCAAAAACATATCAATTATGAAATGTTTTTTCATATCTACTATTCGCAAGACAGGCTTAATGTCATGGTCTCTACGTAGGTATGTATAACTCATGGTCCTAGATTGCAGGGAACACACAATCTAGTTGGGCTTCTGGACTTTATACCTATCTGTAACGTGTAACTAGCACCCCTAGCAGTTATAAGTATTAAAATTGTCCTGACCGTGTGAGAGTTTACAAGAGGTTGGCATGCCCAGTCCATGAAGGTCAGATTTAACCTGGGCCCAGAAGATTGTAAAAAACAGAGAACAGAGGAAGGGTATTTCAGGTAGGCGTATTTACAATTTGCAAAAAGAAACATGTTTGTTACATGTTTAGAAAATAGTCTTCTGAATGGTTCAGTAATGGAAGATATAAATTGTAAGGTTGAAGTGCATAAAACTGTAAATATCATATACATTTCAGATTCTTAGGCCCTGGGAAGCCAGTAAGGGATTTTGAGCTTGGCAGTAATATTATGAGAAGGCTGATTTAGGAGAATGAATCTGGCATTATAGTGTAGGTAGACTGAAGAGAGATTGGAGGCAGGGTATTTAGTAAAGAATTACTAGAAAACTTACATTCAGAGACTTTAGAATTTGGCATGCCTTTCTTGTACAAAACCCATTTAGGTAGAGGAGAAGATTGAAACTCAAATAGGTAAAGAGAATTGCATAAGAACATGATAAAATATTTTTGTTTTAAAGTCTATTTCTGTTTTTAATAATCAATTTATAATAAAAATCATCATCTTTAAAAATGAACTTAAAAGAAAAAGATTGAATCAAGGGCAATTCTACCAAATATCTATCTATATTGCTATCTATCTGTCTATATTTGGGTAGAAACATAGTAAATAACATAGCTATATGAAATGGATAAAAACTTAGATTTTGCCATTCAATAGACTATTTGTCTTAGATATTAAAGCATCCTTTTACATGTATGGAAAACAGTATACCAATAAATAATTTCTAGCTATATTGCATTATTTGACAACCAGTCCTGTGTAATTTCCACTACATTAATGGTAGCAGTAAACATGAAAATGATGTCTCATGATTCGTTGATGAGCTTTATTATTTTGTTGCTGGATTTATTAAGACAGCTCACATCATTTTCATATCATTTAATAGATTCAACATGTTTTCAAGGTTACTGACATTTCTGCTGGGTTTGAGTGGCTTTTAATGTTTATTTGCACTTGGGCAGGAACTGAAAAATCCCATCAAAAGACAGTTATTCATTTCCATTAAGGAGCCATGATGTATGGATGGTAATATGTTTTCATCTGAGTCCAAGGTAAATGCAAAGAAAGAATACTCATAAAATCTGAAGCCCTGGCCCATTTGCTCAAGAAATTTCCTTAGTAGTGATAACATTAGCCATTATTTAATTTCTTGTGATATATGTAATCATTTCACAGCCAAAGGCCACCGATGGAAAGTGACATTAAACAAAAATGAGTTGCAGTTTAATTGGTTTGGAAACATATCTCAGAGTGTCTGCAATATTATAAAACTTCTTTAATACATCTTCCAGCATGAGATCTTATAAACTTTGATGTACTATTACTTAACACAGAGTTTCAATCTATCCTTAAATGCAGGGATACTATTCTATGGCCAGAAGTTTATTCATGTGTTCATTTATGTATTTAGGCAGTGAATGTTTATTGAGTGCCTAGTAACTGCGATATAAGGTTAAAAAAAAGGATAAATGTTTTTTTAAAAAAGACGTATGTGGATGGAATGCTAATGAAGATAGAACCCTGCTGCTCTAGGTGTTCATAGTAGGACTCTTATATAGGCTTTGATGTGACTTCTTATATAGGCTTTTATGAAATTATAAAAGTCTCTTAATTCTTCCACCAGGACAGACCAAGATGATCAGGAGATTTCACACACATTTTCAGTGTTGGTATACATCTAAATGTAAGTGCATCCCTGAAAGTATAGTAGGAGAATAAAGGAATTATCACGATTGATGCCCAGGTTACTAGCTCACAATGATCTCTTTCTCTCTCTTTGCATATGCATTGGTGGTTGAGATCAAACACTATTCCTAGCCAAATGTGGAATTTGAGAGAAATGGTCTAAAGATAGTTTTGGTGGAAACTTGGCCCACTTGATGGTACTTGAAAATTAGTTTCCTTTGGAGCATACACATTGACTTGAGTCAGATATATGTGTGCAGACATGGAGAGTTGTAGGATTCAAAGTTTTACACTTATTAAGAGAACATGAGTGAAGATTCTAAGACTGTGGAGTGCACTAACTCCCTACTTCCCTGGCAGCTTTGTCCAAGAAACTGTACAGCTAGATCTTGTGCGTGTGTGCAGGTGCGTGCTCCTCTTAGCTACACATGGTGCAGTGCTTCCTCAACAGAAGCAGAAAAAATGAAGGCAGTCAAGGAAATAGAGAGTCTCACTGTCAACTTCACTAAAGGTATTTTAGTAAAATGTCAACCTTACTATAGGATTTTTAGGGTCTAATGCCTTAGGCTAATGGCATTTTTTATTCAAATATGATTATTTTGACAAGATTTATAATTTAGTTATGGCAAACTATTCCACTGTTATCATTTAATTCTAATCTATTTTCCTCCTTTTCTTCCCTCCTTCCCTTCCCTCCTTCCCGCCCCAGCCACCCATTTGTAGAACCTTGCCAATAAGGGCATTAGGAAGGTGGGCAAAGGATGTTGTCTAATGATAAAGTAGGATTAAAGTAGTAAAGAAAAGCACTAAAGAGAGCAAAGATAATACATACCACAATTTAACTTAGTAATTTCTATCCTATTTCCACCTTATTATTACTCTGACATTTAATCCAGAAGTCATTGGGAACCTAAGTTATCTAATTATTTTGGTACTCCATTGTTTGTATGCAAACTCAGACATAAAATGAAACCTTAAATTTACAGAAATATGCAGAGAACATATGCATTGCAAAAATGATTATTGTATACAAATTTATAGGCAAACACACCATTGTACTGTGTTATCTTAACTCAAATTCTTAGTACCTTGAGGTAAAGCGAGAAAAGAACTTTAAAAGACAATGTCTTCTATTATCATAAAAAATATTTATTATAAAAAATTATCACATTTCTCTGTACATAGCATAAAGACAAAAACACAATGTATACATTAATAATTTAAGTGGGCCTGAGTATTCAGTATCCTTCTACTAGAAACCCTAAAGCTCTTCCACGGATTTCACAAATACCAATGTAGATTATTTCTATTTTATCAAAGTCCATTTGCACCGTTAATGTAATTGAGATACTAACGTTTCTTTTTTCTAGTGTTTTAAAGATAGTTCACAGTGTTTAGGTTAATTAATTAATCAACTGATTTAAATCTTTGGTAAATACAAGTATTTACATGTAAAAATGTTTAGCTCAAATTTCAGTAAAAAACTGAAATGACAAATAACCTGCTGCAAACTGTTTTGTATAATCAGAAATGCGAGCTGGACTCCCACCATTAAGAAATGTTACTGTCTAGGACTTCTGATGATAAAATCTGAAATCCACAAAAAAATAGTTGAGCTTCTATTACCATTACCAGAAGCACCACAACACTAGGCCACCACAAAATTACACACAAATGTCAAATTCAACATATAAACCATACTGATTATTTTACAATGCAGAAAATCCTCCGTTTTTTCTATATGCCAGTTTAAATGTTAATTGACACAGATAAGTTTATCTCATAAAAGCCTACTATCTTGTAAGAGTGAGAGCCATTTAAAGAATCCATACTGTTTTCAAAAACACCAGCTCTTCCTCTTGCCAATGACACATGCATGAAAATACAGACTTTTTTTGAAATAATTTGTGGGGAAAATAGAAAAGTGCCTGCCTTCTGCTTCCCTCTCTACCTATATCCTTTCTTTCCTTCCTGCCTTCTTTCATTTTTCCCTTCCTTCTTCTCTAAGAGTATTCAGTGCCACTGCCTGCCAACCTTCAAATTATACCTTAACTCTCGCAAAAATACCATATGCATTTCAGGTGTCATTCATTAGCTCTCAGTCACAATGATTCACAAATGAAAGCATGCTCGCATGAGAATCTCTTACGTCCAGGCTATTTGTTTTAAAAAATCACTCTAAAAGGTACTTAAATTCTAATGTTCTTGAGTCACTTGCAAATTAGAAATTTTTAAATAGACATACTAATGCTGGAGTGTACAGAATATAATTAAATATATCAAAAATATATCTTTTTTTTTTTTTTTTGAGACGGAGTCTCGCTCTGTCGCCCGGGCTGGAGTGCAGTGGCCGGATCTCAGCTCACTGCAAGCTCCGCCTCCCAGGTTTACGCCATTCTCCTGCCTCAGCCTCCCGAATAGCTGGGACTACAGGCGCCCGCCACCTCGCCCGGCTAGTTTTTTGTTTTTTTTTTAGTAGAGACGGGGTTTCACCGTGTTCGCCAGGATGGTCTCGATCTCCTGACCTCGTGATCCGCCCGCCTCGGCCTCCCAGACTGCTGGGATTACAGGCTTGAGCCACCGCGCCCGGCCAAAAATATATCTTTTAAGCCTAGAAAATGGATGCCTTTGGATTACCATCATTTCAGGATAGAGAAAAGCCCTTCTTACTGAGTTAGGCTCTGAACATGTGATTTCTTTCACTAACACTAGTTTTTCCAATCTGCTGACTTATTTATAAGCAAAGCAAAGTAAGAGATATTTTTGCCGTTACTTTGGCAATTCTCTCTCCAATCCCCAACATCCTGAGTTCAGTGCACATCTAACAATTCACTCAAGACCAGGCACCTGACAATAAGTGTTCACTTAGTGTGTAAAGTAAACAGGAAAAGCAGCATAATAAAGGAGCTGTGTTTTTATCAGAGGAGCCTTCCTTCTGAGATTTTACATAAGTTGATGCCTTCACTGCAACCTTGAATAAAATGTTTTGAATTTTGAAACATTTGAATAAAATGTTTGAATGCTTTGAATAAAATTCCTCCTCTTTCAGCGTAAACCTTATTTTAGTCACCAGCCTTTCCTTCCAGAGCACATAAATATGTTCAAAATGTACATTTACATACATTTCTAACCACATAGTGTAAACTAAGTTTTAATCCTTTGCATGGCAGGAAAATGCTGGTATTCTGACACCAATATCTTTTGATGTGAACAAGAGGCCTAAAATATTAGTCTATTGAAACTGCTAACTGCCATCTTCACGCTCACTCCCTTTCTCATTCTTGTTATCAAAAACAGATGGAAAACTGAGGCTTATTTCTTTGGGATTTTATATAAACTCATGAGTTATTCTACATAAAAAAATAAGGAGCTGACCATCTGTTAACTCCTGTAGTCTTGCACTAAGTTCTCCTGGGTCACAGAAACAAGCTCCAATCCTCATTGGATCAGTGTTCTGATTAAGGAGTTTTCGTTGCTGTTGTTTGTTTTGGAGGAAACAAGGGTTCACACACAAACATTCAGGAAGCAGCACTGGTGCAGACCCACTTTGATCCCATAAAGTGTCTTGAGTGTCCCTCTTCACATGGCCGCTTCTTTTGCCAGGTTCTTTGGTTCCCTGCTTGGGATACACCAGTCATCAGCCTCAGAGCTCATCTGATAATGTTTGAAGGCTGACATATTAAAGACTGGAAGTTTTTCTATAGACTCAGAAGACAAAGCCTAAAAGAAAAGGGGGGAAAAACATGAGACCAAAGACATTATGCATGGCATAATTTGCACTTGAAGTTATTATTCAAAATACATTCAGAGGTAAGTATCCAAACACTCAAATACATTCATTTAATTGATACAGTAATAAGAGCACACTGGTGTCTGCACTCAGTCTATTGCTCTTTCTCAATAGTTTGAAGGCTTTTGCTCACTTAAGAAGTGAATACATTAACTGTTTCAGGTGATCAAAGGCCATTTGGCAAGTAATTCCAGTGCAAAAAATGGGAGCCTGAAAGTTTAATGTTTTAGTTGTTAATATCTGTAAATATATTTTCAGTTGAAATAGTTGGCAAATGATGAACAGAATCAAGACAGTGCTCTTAACAAAGAAATTGAGGCTTTACCAGAAACAGAAAAACATGCACCAAGTTTTATTTATTATTTTTTTTAAACGGAGTCTAGCTCTGTTGCCCCAGGCTGGAGTGCAGGGGCACCATCTCGGCTCACTGCAACCTCTGCCTCCTGAGTTCAAGAGATTCTCTTGCCTCAGCTTCCTGAGTAGCTGGGGTTACAGGCGCCCGCCAACATGCCCAGCTAATTTTTGTATTTTTAGTAGAGATGGGTTTCACTGTGTTGGCCAGGCTGGTCTAGAACTACCGAACTCGTGATCCACCCGCCTCAGCCTCTCAAAGTGCTGGGATTACAAGCGTGAGCCACTGTGACCGGCCAACATGCACCAAGTTTTTAAGTTCAAACAGTGAATGTCTGGCACCCCACTGACAGTTTGCGAACAGTCAGCTTTCCTTTCCCAGGATTTCTAACAAGGTCAGCTTAAGGTCCTGAGTATCTTGATACTTGTTATTTTTTCAGGCTGGAACATTATTAGCATATACTTCCCACAAATCTAAGTAAAATAAAAGTACAGCTACTCTCATAGATGCCAAAAGGAGTTGCCTTAAAAAATTTGCATTAGCATGTCCTCATTCTGAAACTTTGGTAATGTATTAACACTTCTCGGGAAGCAATTTTGCTTCACTTGAGGCAGGTAGTATGGCCCAGCTTCCTCTTTGGTAAGTTATCATATTAAATAATGTACACACACCCAGAAACAGAAGAGAATGACCTGTGGTCATTTGTATTAACTCAGTTTGGGGAATTCACTCTGGACCATAGCACTGAGGGCTATAAAAGCAGCAATGGTTTTAGAAATAGGATTTTGCTATTGAATTCAAGGGATACCTTTAAGTAGATGATAGCATCTGTTCCATATCCTGATAAAGAGTAGAGATTCAGATCTCCTTGAAAGTACTTGGCATAGAGACGAGAAATTGGCAAGCCGTAACCAAAACCAGCCTAGAGAAGAGAGATGTTATCAGGTAAAGAAGTGTACGCGATCACTGAAATACAAACAAATAGGAAATTACTGTCCTCACTGATACTAATGTCCTAGAACCTAAATAAATATCTTCTACTTCCAATCAGACACCCCTTGTTTCACCATTTTTAGCTTGCTTTATCATGCATTCTCATATCCTTCATGTCTAATTTTACTAAATTGATGAACTTGTCTAAATAATCCCTTGCAATCCTTGCTCTACATTTAGAACTAGGTGGCTGAGATTAATTTAGCCAAATAATTGTTCTTACCAAAGGAGCATTCCGGGAATTATCCATCACAGGCGTTGGTGCAGTGGAGTATGTATAACTAAAGAGGCGGTCAATAATTCTCAGGGGAACACCACCTCCTCTGTCTGAAATCTAAAACAAACAAACAAGTCATCAGAACCACACATTAAAAACAATGTCTATTTGTCTAAATAAAAATGGCTTTCCTTCATTTAAAAAGCACCTGGCTTATATGACTGTTATCTATTGCAAAAAGCAGAGAGCTTTATTACTATTGACCCTATTTAATTCTCTCAAGAGACACCCAGAAGAAAGACAGAGAATGGTTACCTTAATTGTGAGGTCTTCTTTTCCCAAGACAACAATCACCTCAATTGGTGTAAGGGAAGGCCGATTTTCCTGGTGTTCAACTGTTGCCCGCATTGCATTCTAAAGGAAACCAAACCGTAAGGAATTCAATGGCAGAGGAATGAGGGACAATAAATATCTGGTTTTTTTAATGTTTAAAATAAAAGTAGCACAGGGAGGGTAATTCAAAGTTCCTGTTTTTTTAAGTTAGTAGTAAAACAGCTTTGTAAATAGCCATTTATGAATGTGTCATGTAGGATGTATAATGAAAAATATTCATTTACTGTGTAATATAGCTCCTGGGAGTAATGTCTAATGGAAAAACAATTCTGCTAGCTGTCAAGTTCTTATTTGTAAGCTTAATTTAAATGTGGAAATTGGTTTTTATAGTCCATTTCCTAGCTCTCCCTTTTCTGTCTTTCCATTACATTTTACATCCAAGCACCAAAGACTATTACATAACAAATGAACAGTGAATCACTGAACCAATTTATTGGCTTTTATAAAACTTGCTGTGAAAAGGTTGTTACTATTTAAGAGGACAGTTGATAATTCTAAATTAAATTTCAGTTGGCATTTGATTATCATCTAACTTTCACCAATGATGGCAAAATAACTCTATGAGTTGCATCATTCAACTTAAAAATAAATCAAATCAATGAAAAAGTATCCTTTGTCCTTTAACACAGAGCAAACTAAAAGAAGTTTTCAGTCTATTGGCTGAATATCATACAGATACAGTCTTGGTTTTCTTAACCCATTTTCCTTTCTCACCACCTATCTGCTTTCTGCTTTCTGGTTTTTATATAATATTAAGTTCTAGTCATTAGCTGGAGTAAAATAAAGTAGATCAGATGTTTGTAGTACAATCAATACCTCACAGCAGTAATATTAGAATAAGTTAGGAAACGGGAAGTTCCGGAAAGAATTATGTCAGAATTAGAGCCAGATTTCACTTTTTTTAGCCTGCCTTCTCTCCAATTCAGGGGACTCTTGGGAAGCATCTAAAAGCTTAAGGTGTTTTTCTATTTTTTGGTTTAAGTTCAATTTGATCTTAATTTAATTTGATCTTAGGACGCATGAAAGGATTTGATTCTTAGCACCGGGCTGCCTCAGACCAGTAACATCTGTACCCTTTGAGAGCTTGTTAGAAATGCACATTCTCAGACCTAAAGAATCAAAATCTCTGGGGTGGAGCCCAAGAATCTGTGTTTTAGCAAGTCCTGCAGGCGATTCTAATGCACACTACAGTTTGAGAAGACAGCTCAACAGGCCTGCTAAGAAAAGTGTGCATTTGGACCGGCAGCATCACCCCTTAGTTTATTCAAAATTCAGAATCTCAGACCCAACTCTAGACTTCCTGAATCAAAATTTTCACTTTAACAAAGTCCCCATGTGATTCATATGCACTTTAAAGTGGATGATTGAAGGAAGTACTGACTTTGCTCTGAGCACATTCTGGACTCTGAATGGGGCCATGCCACCTACAGGAATTCTGGACCTGAACCTCTGAGTTTGGAGTTGGATCAGCCTGTGGGGGTGGAGGTAACAAGGCCTCATTCACTGAAACATTCACCCCCATGACCTCTCTTAATGAATGAATAAATGACTGGTGCTTTGATGGACACCTGAAAAAATAATAGGAACCTCCTCTTGGCTCTAAAGCATTGACACATCATGAATTGTATGATGCATTCTCAAATACGTGTTGATGCTACAATGAGCTACATGTACTTCCTCAAACATTGACTGTGTAGTTACTTTCTCCTAGGAGGACTAGAAGCATTCTTGGGAAAAGATATTGAGGCTCCTGTTTTGTGGCAAATAATAAAGGAGATAAAAATATAACTGTTAAACCTTTTTAAAAGGTAAAATTTCAATTATTGTGAAGTATCGTACCTTAAATAGTTCAAAGAGCATATGATGGAGGTGAGAAGGAACATACACGATGTGAATTGGTTGGTCGGGAAATTTTCCTAGAAAAATAAAATTCATGAAGATTTTGTAAACAAATACTTCACTAAAATAAACCACCACATTCATGTGATTGACATTTTAGACTTCAAGAGGGTTGGCATATTCTCTATCTTCTCCCTCCCCAAATCCTGCCCTAGAACCTTCCCGCTTAAACAGTAAATACTACTGGCTTATGTACAAAATGTTATTGTAGTTGCTACATAGTATTCTTTGGTTAATTGTTTTTTTGTAGAGATGGGGTCTCACTATGTTGTCCAGGTGAGTCTGAAACTGCTGGCCTCAAGCGATGCTCCAGCTTTAGCCTCCCAAACTGCTGGGATGACAGGCATGAACCACCTTGCTCCATATGATTAATTTTTGTATTTCTCCACAAATGTATGAAGTTGGGTAAGTGTGGAAGAATAGTGCTACAAATTAGATTTTGTGGATTATTTCTATTTTCACCATTTTTGTACTGGACAATTTCAGAGTCAAAATTATATGTATTTTAAGATAGAAGGGAAAAACTGTGCTTATAGCATAATATTGAAATTAATGCTAACTATAATTTTCATATTTTTAGTGCATGGTAAAATAATACACCTGATTTTTCTTGTTTTTTTGTATCACCCAAACATTAAATCTTATATGCTAAATATGCTCAAATTTTACCAAGAGGATAAAGAAAACAGAGAAACAAAAACCTCTTAATGCTTTTTGAAAAGAAAAATAAAAAGTAAAATAAAATTAGAAAAAAAAACATAAAAGAAAAATAAAAGTATTATTCTTCAGTATTCCAGGCCTTGGCAAAGTTTGAATCAGAAAACACAAGGTCTGGCACAAGCCCCTGTTTATTTTGTCAAACAGTTGGAGCAGTTTATCTACTAGTATTATGCAACAACCCTGTTTATGCTCAGAGATATGTTCCATTCTTTATTTGCTCTTCTACTTTTAGTTTAGTGTTTACTTACATTTGCATGTCCCTAATCTGTTAGGCTATTCTTTGAGCAACTTGATTTAAACTCTCACCATAAACAAACTGTTGCTGTATAAATATTACTTGAGAAAGATGTTTACTTTAAATAGAAAAAAGAAGTAATTCCAATTTAAATATACTGTTTTAAGATGCAACTATTTACCAGAACAGAATGGGAAGGGGTGAAAATAGTGCCTTTCATTCATCATGTAATCACTTCAGTCATTCAGACAGTATAGGAAGACCTTGTCAGAAATGAAGTTTTGTTTGTTTGTTTTTCTGAGACAGGGTCTCACTCTGTCACCTGGACTGGAGTGCAGTGGGACAATCACGGCTCACTGCAGCCTTGCCTTCCTGGTCTCAAGTGACCATTCCACCTTAGCTTTCTAAGCAGCTGGGACTACACGTGTGTGCCACCATGCCTGGCTAATTTTTATTTTTTGTAGAGACAGTGTCTCCCTTTATTGCCTGGGCTGGTCTTGAACTCCTGGGCTCAGGCAGTCTTTGCACCTCGGCCTCTCAAAATGCTGGGATTACAGATGTATGCCACTGAACCCAGCTGAGTTGAAGCTTTTTGAAGTATGTTCTGCTTCCAGAACAGTAGTCTAAACCAATAGTGCAATTTTTTTTTTTTGTATTAGGGTGAAGGCATTTAACATGAGATCTACCCTTTTAACAAAATGTTAAGTGTACAATACAATATCGTTAACTATAAGCACTATGTTGAACAGCAGAACTCTAGGATTTATCCATCTTGTATAACTGAAACTTTATATCTGTTGGATAGCCACTCCCCATTTTCCCCTTCCTCACAGCCCCTGACAACTACCATTCCACTCTGCTTCTGTGAGTGTGACTATTTTAGACATCTCATATAAGTGGAATAATGCATCTGTCACTGGCTTATTTCTTACAGTGAAATTTAAAGTATTTTTGTTTCCAGGTCTTATGGGTAACCTCTTTAAGAGGATATTTCCACAGCTGTATCTTCCCTACTTCTGGTCTCCTTATCCCTCATATTCTACAGCAAGTAATCTTTCTTTGATCTAAGATATTGGAAAATAGTTGCTACTTTAATCCCATATTATTTGTTCAAAACATTCTTCTTTATGAATCCTCATTAGCAACTGAATAGGCAGAATTGGAGCCTTCCAGTTGAGACAGTTAAAGAGAACCTTGTCTTCAAAAAAAAATGTGTACAAACTCTAGGCAAGAGAAAAAAGGAACACAGAAGTTGCTTTATATTTACAAAAAAAAATCGTATTAGGAGAATACAGAATTTTCCATAGGTTAAAATATATTTTACTTAAAACTTACCATTCACTTGTGTGAGCTTTAATTCTGGAGATGTTAAATAATACTGATCACAGAGCATCCTTGAACACTCAAAGGCATCTGGAATAGAAGTTGTTTTTTATAACAATGAAATGAATTTATTCCAAGTACAGTTCTCAATTAATCTTCAGTGTCTGTATCGCCCTACTATAAAATATGCACTAAAGTACAGGTTTATGTATATAAAAATATATTTTAATATTTTATTGAAGAAAAATTAAGACAGTGTTTGCACTGCAGTTTTAGCAATACAAATATGTGCACTTCAGAGATTAAATACAATATATAAAATATGGCAAGTTAGTCACTTATATTTGGATTTTAAAATAATATTTTAAAGGAATGTTTATACTGTTGACTCTCAAAAGGAAAGGACCTTGAAGATAACATTTATAAAATAAAATGGAACACTCTGTGAACATAAATTCATTCGCAGAGTCACCTCAATTATAGATATGTCAATCATACAGTGTACATTTTCAATAAGGGAAATGCAGAAATATAGAACATACCTTGGACCACTGCTACCACATCACAGTTAGGATCAATGCTTCCAATGTGGGTTGGGTTTCCTGTCTGTGAGTCACTAAATATAAGAACTGTTGAAAAATAAAAACAAAATATTGTTATAAAATTCAGGATAATGATTAGTACTACCACTGAGAATGTGACCTGCTGATTAGTGAAACATCTAGTCATAGTATGCCTTATATTCTACACCCATGTCTATATACCATGATCATGATGAGCTAACTTACTGTGCTGGTTCATCAGCATCCGAGTAGAAATACGGTTCATGTAAAATCGATCCAAGAAATACTGAAGATTTTGATTGGTGACTGGGTCAACTGTACAGGCATCTTTATACTCTATGATTCCTTGTGCCATTGTAGGGACTACATTATGGTGTCGATTTCGAACTTTGATGAGTGTATCTACAAAGCTAAGCCACAATATTTATGGTTAGTAAAAGTTCAAATACATTTCATTCACTTATACTCCTTAGGTTACTTCACAGAAGGCTAAAGATCTTTTTGCATTACTCATGTGAACAAATCAAATGATAAAACGTTAGTCCTTTATTAGTAATCTCACCACAGATTCTTCCACTAGAGGAGATAATTTCATAAACAGACTCATTTTGTTTCTAGCTTATATGTAAAACTATTAGCCTTATAACCAATGCATTCATCAGATGTATTAAGTCTTCTCTTTATAAACTAACGATTAATATCTAATATCATCATTCTAGAGATGACTCTAGAATACCATTGTAAAAAACTTTCAAAATTTCTCGTCAGATTTAGAAAAGATTCTTATTTAGGTAGCTAGAAACTATCAGTTACTCTGAAAGAAAATGTTTAATCTCCAATGACACTGAAATGTATTAAAATTATGTAATGGTAAATCCTCCTGCACATCTAATCATTGGAGTAAATTTATAGTAAAAATAGGTCTCCCTAGGGGGAACAAAAATGAGTCCCCTTCACACTTAGCATTTCTTCACACTTAGCATCATTTCTTCACACTTAGCATCATTTCTTCACACTTAGCATCATTTTCAATGCCATATTCTTCACTTCCAAAAAACCAACAAGCCAAAACTTGTCATGTGTAAGGGGGTAGTGATTTATTATTCAGAGCTGAATTCCTTTAATTTAGGTCTAAAAATATCTTAGGAATTTGTCTGGAAAGAACCAAAGTTTTAAACATTTATTCTAATGCATAGAGCTTACTCTGATAATGCTTTCTGGTCATCTGGGCTTTTCTCATGGAATTCCACCAAATCCATCAGGCTCTGTATATACCTGTAAAGAAACAGGCGTGCTTTAAGTTTTAAAATTAACAGTCAGATACAAATGGCTGAAAATAGAATAACTTTTTCAAATAATTTTAAAAGAGAAAGTAAGCATTATGTTCAAAATTAAAACTTTCCTCCAGAACATTTGGAAAATAATAAAAATTTAAAATGCTATAATTTTTAATCCTTGACTTTCAAACTTAAAATTTAATGCAAAATGTTTCTTTAACTATTTCAGGTCAGTATTCAGTTTCCTGACTATTTTATTTGGCAAATATTTTCATTTCTTCTAGCAATAATATTTAGAAATAACTTTTTAAAAGCTTTTTATTTTTTTCTACTACATTCATTCATAGAAGAGTATAAGTCTTGACTGCAAAAGTAAATACTACACATTGAATATGTTTTAGATTGTAATTGTCTTATAGGTATATAATACATGTATTTCTTGAATCAATGAACAAAAGGCTGTGCAGTCAGTGGATTAAGATAAGGCTCTCATGCATGTCTGCCACCTGTGCATATCCCGCTTCTGTGATCCAAAAATTTGCTGTTTGGGGTTACCTACCATCTCTAAGCATCAGTATCTTCATTTATAAAATGAGATTATAACAACTGACACTTACTGACTGCTGGCTGTGTGCCAGCTGCTGTCCTAAGTGGGTTTTTTTTTCTTTTTTTTATGGATTATCTCATTTCATTACACTCAAACATCCCTCTGAGGCATATACTTTAATCTCCTTAATGAGAGATGGGAATAATAATTCAATGGCATAAAGAGTTTAAGACACTTGCCAAGGATTCCACAACTAGAAGTGACAGAGGCAGGATTTGAACCCAGAGCCCACTCTGCCAATCACTTTGTAAGTGACAAAGATTAGGCCTCCCCTCAATAGTAGTCATTTGAATTGGTTTCTAGGCATAGGATTTCTTTTGCAATATCAAACTCTTATTATTGAAAGTACTCTTCTATAATTGAAAATTAAAATTGCATGCCAATTATTTTTCCAATTTATCCTAGAACTCAAAATTTTATTATAAACTAGTCGACTTTTTCAGGGTAAAAATGTCTGTTTATAGTTTTATAGCTTCCCTAATGATAACTTATCCTAAATTAATTTTAAAATCCCTACATCTTTCAAAAGTAATTACCGTTCAGACAGATCACCTGTTTTCCAATTATGATGTTAACATAGTATAAGAATTCATACCCGGGTAACTGTTTCAAAACTAGAGACTTCAATATGGTTCACCACTTACCAGCTTTTAACTAATTGCACTGAAGAGGTATTTATTAACTGGGTCGGGAGGATATCAATTTCCCTCAGAATGTTGGCGAGCCTCACAGGCAATTCTTGTCGCAAAAATGCAAAAGAAGTTCTTTCACATGCGTTTTCTGAACCTATAATAAACGAAATTAATTTAGTTTTTGGGAAAAAGGTGTGTCTAAATGATATATCTAAATAGCATTAACTATCAAATATTGAACACACATATATTATAAAATTATATTTCACTCTCAGTTGGGTTACTGTTAATCGATAATTCAGGGGCGATTGTCTTCTTAATTGACTATCTCGTCTTCCTATTTTCCTTCCTTTCCTTTCGTCTTTCCTTCTTTCTTTTAAAAAGTGACAAATACAGGATAATTATTGTCTTCTCTTTTTGAAGAGGATTCACTTCCAAGAAGTAAGAATATCCCACAGTTCTTAGCATTTTTGAAAGACTGCAGGATTCGGTCACATCACAATGTCAACAACACAACATCCTTTAATGAGTGTGGACATGAAAGATGGGGGATAAGAGGCTGGAGTGGGAGCTGTAATATTTCCAGAACAATGATATCACATTTAAACCCTTGAAACTTTCCTTATAAGATTATTGCAACAAATGTGTAAATATTTTCAGCAATCATGCAAATATATGGAAAGCTATAATGATAGACAAATCTGTAGGGATGCAGAGAGATGTACCCTGTGGAAGGATGCCGGTGGCCAAGGAATAAAATCTATTAATTTGAGGCTATTTAATACCATTTAGAATCTTCTCCAAACAGTACTATGCTGTGAAGGAGGGGAAAAAGTTTCCAGTCCACTGTTAAACGGTGACCGAAAGCAAAAAGTAATTTGACTGGAAGGACAGGTCAGAAAGAAGAGTGTGCAGATGAAGTCAAACCTTATCCAGTGAAGGCAGGCTTGCAAGTGGCCTTGACCTGGCGGCACCCCTGTCAGAAAGTAACCAAATCTAGGAAAAGGAAAGGTGTGCTGTCGTCGAGGCTCCAGGGCTCAGCAGCAATGTGAACCCTAGTTATTTTAGCTTGATCCTAGCCTCCCTCTCCCGAGGCTGAAAGTTAAGGCAGTTCCCCATCCCCAGGACCCAGCTTGGGCCCTGTGTCCCCTCTCACCAAAGTCCAGTAGCTGCTTCATGGACAGCGGGGAGGGGCTGTAGCGCGAGAAATGCTCGACCTCTCGGGGCACCAGGCCGGCACCGCTGAGTGAGCCAGCGCTGCGCAGCACGAAACGGGCCGCCTTCATCTTGACGCCCACCCGGCCTTGCAGGGACTGTGGCTCGCTTGAGGGGCTAAGGCTGCTCGGAGCAGAGCCTGGTTCCGAGGGGGCGCGGCGCGTCTGGGCGAGGACTGCAGGTGCGCCGGCTGTCTCGTGCGCCCGGGCCTGGGCTAGGGTTTGAGGGTGCCGCGGAGTGAAGAGGCTGGGCAGCGAGTCGGAGATGCAGTGGGTTGAAACTCAAGTTCCCGTCTTCCCACCAGCCGCCGCCGCCCGAGGTTTTATTTGTTTCCCCGCACTCTCCCCCCGAGTCCCAAACAGGAGGAGTCACTGGAACTTGGAGACGCGCCCTGAACTCCAGGCCGCGCCAATCAGATCAGAGAAAGAGGTAGGGGCCCCGCCCCCCTGGCCGCGGTCCCCGCAGAAATAGCCTGACCCGGTGACCACGGAGTGCCCTGGCACCGGTGCCCGCGGCTGTGAGGGGAATAGGGTGGGAAGAACAGGGAAGAGGAAGCAGAAGCAGGTATCTGGGGCAACGTGGGCTTAAGATTAGCCTCTTGGGACAGGGCTCCAAGTCGCGTGGGCTGGGGTCCCGCCCAGGCTCGTCCTTGTTTACAACTCGGAGGCTGTCTCAATGTCAAGCACTCCTGGCCACAAACTGTGTCGAAGAGTTTGGGCTCCGAGCGCTCATTGGTCCTTTCTCAGAGCAGGGCTTTTACAGTAGCCAACAAGCTGCGTTCAAAAGTATGGGCTTCTCTGCCACTGGACAGAGAGAAAGGAATAAACAACCTAAAGACGTGCGCCCCCACCCCCACCGCCCCCTTTTCTTCAGAAGAGACCGGCACATGGCAGGAACTGTACGTTCCTTTTGCTGAGACTTGAGGGGCTGCCCAAATACATTTACTTTTTCCTGTGGTAATAAAAGGCCACATCAATTCGTTCTTCTCCGGCAACACATTCTTTCCGTTAGGTTTAGTTCTATTAATTAAAAACAAAATTAAAAAGGGATCAATTTGTCAGTTTGCCTTACCTTTTGCTGTGATCAGAGAATTTGTTCACTCTGACCTGTACGAAATGTCCTTACTCCAAATCTTTATCTGAGACAATCCATTCTACCCTCAAATGTCTGGCACAAGCTGTCTGCTGCAAAAAGTCTTCCTTGATTACTTCTCCCCACTTCTTCCAAATAAGGCCTTGGTCTTTCATAGTATTATTTTATAGCTATTTATGTTTTTATATTATCCCTCTCTGACTACCTCCTTTCCTGAAAGAGATCAGGGTAGGGACCCTGTCTGATGCATCTTTGTGATTTCTACTTTTTCACTACTCAGTATTTATTAAATTAATGACAGTGGTTGAGACACATTATCCTGTCATAAAAGTCTCATACTAACCTCCGTTTCCTCTCCTGACACTCTTAAAAGGCCTCGGGAATGAAACCACCGTGTTTGGGAAAGGTGGGAGTAAGAGATTTGGATACAAATGTAATAGAATGGGAACTAATGGGGTATTAAAAATGATAATTTGTTATAAAAGACCCCTTTTGACCTCATCCCTCTGCGTTTATTTTATTTTACTTTAAGTAATTAATTTATTGAGATAGAGTCACACTTTGTCTCCCAGGTTGGAGTGCAGTGGCGCCATCTCGGCTCACTGCAACCTCGGCCTCCCGGGTTCAAACAATTCTGCTGCCTCAGTCTCCTGAGTAACTGGGATTACAGGCACACGTCACCACACCCAGCTAATTTTTGTATTTTTAGTGGAGATGGGGTTTCGCCATGTTGGCCAGGCTGGTCTCCAACTCCTGACCTCAAGTGATCCACCCACCTTGGTCTCCCAAAGTGCTGGGATTGCAGGAGTGAGCCATCGCGCCCAGCCTGCCCCTGCATTTACAAGCAGAATGGGCCACTGTGAAAGTCATGAGTGATCCTAGGCTCTGCTGTCATCCTTTGCCCTTTTCATCTAGGAGACTGCATTAAATCACAGGACAGATTTCCAATTCTATCTCTAGCACGAACTTTCTTCCAAGATCCAGATTCTTCTATTCAATTGCCTATTTGGTTTCTCCATTTGGATGTCTAATAGGCATCAATTTTGCTTCTCTAAAATCAACCACCGTTACGAGGGATCTGAAACAGTCCTGGCAAACCCTTTGTCAGTTATGTGGCCTGTGTGGAGGCATCGTATTAGCTCTCCTATTATTTCCCCCATTGTCTATACTTTACCTATAGATGGTCTAGAATTTGGGACTTTCTGTTATGACCAAATATTTTGTTCAGACCTTTGAGAAACAGTTGTGTGAAGACATGCAATATTCATGATCTTCCAATGAAGAGGATGGGGCCTGGGTTCTAAGAGAATATTGAGGGATGATCCAAGTATAGACTCTAGCAGTTGCACTTGAGTGAGACAGAAAAACTACCAAAAACACAACAGCTCAAGCACTTATCTGAAGCTGAAATAGTTGTGGGAATATGTGGGAATATGGGGAATTTCATCTCCACTTGTAGACAGGTTTTGATGCCACTATTATTTATATTTTTGTACTTGGAATCCTTTATTAAATATTTGCATAGCTTGATGCAGCAAAGAAATGTGTTCAAGTAGCCAAAAAACTAAATAAGAATCTCTTTGATGAAGCAAGTAAATTTAAGGTAAAAATCCCTTCTTTTTCTTAGATTGGGTCCTAACAACATAAGTAAAAAGTAAAGCATGCATTTGCTTTTCTCACTGTATGTGGAACCTGGAATAGGCAAAAATATATATTACAAAGAATTATACTTTGATTTTCAGAGGAAAGGCAATGGAATTATGCATTACAGGCAGTCTAATTTAGGAAAGTCCCATGTCCCCAAGTACATTTTACCCAGCATTACTACTCTATGTGCTGTGGGTTGATTAAAGATCAGGTGAAATCATATGATGTTCACAGAGATGACTTAGGGCTAAATGTGAACTGAGGTCGCCAAAATTTTGTTTCTATGTCATCCCTTCTAATAATATTTACCAAGTTACTGTCACAGTGCATTGCATTCTTCTGTGTCATTTCTGTATGATGGGAACTGTTATTATAATTGGCAGCATTCATGATAGCTGGCCTAGAAAGGTCAGGTCAAGTTGTTTACCCAGTTGGCTAAGATGCTATGTATTATCATGATTAGAGAGTGACCTGGGAAAAGAGTGGCACTTCTCTTTTCAGGTTGAACACAAATCTTGGAGGTTATCCGGTTGGGACAGAGGTGAAACAAAAATATTATTTGGGGGCAATGGGTATGACAGATCCATGCATTCATTTGAGTAAAAGTAAACCATGAGAAGACTATTAAATGATTAATGCTAAGGAGTAGAAGAAGTAATCAAAGCTGTTCCCTTGCATACAATGCTGAACATAACATCCCTGCTTGCAATACCTGATTCCTAAAATTTCCATGGGCACCTTACCTAGCATTAAATGAATTCTGTTCAGTTTGCCTGGAAAAATCTAATAACATAAGGCCACTAGTAGAACTTTCAGAATGCAAATCACACTTTTTCCAGAGGGTGGAGGATGGCCAATTTGACAAAATCGGTCAGATCACTTAAAGAGACATCTATTCAGTTTTTCCACCTCTAGGATCATATTCCAAGAAAGCAATTTAAAATACACATAACAGGAACTCCAAAGACATGATGGAAAGATTAACAGACTTGACCATAGAATATTAAAGTTAAAATATGAACAGCAGACTTGGAGAATATATTTACAGAATATGTAATAGACAAATCATTATTTAAGAGATGGCTGTTTCAGTAGGGAACCATGTGGTCATGATCTATTCCCTCATGGAGATGATAGACTTGTGGGGGAAATTGGCATTACAAAAGCATACGGACAATAAGCCTATACGTTAAGATAGGACAAGGGCTAAGAAGAAAATGATTGTGAAGAGTGTAATAGGCTGGAACTACCTTAGATTTGGTGGTCAGGGAAAGTCTCCTTGAGTAAATGACAATTAAAAGAAAAGGAATGAGCTTCTACTGGGGTTGAGAGGGAACACTGGTGAAAGCATATTGGTGAAGCTATTGGGAAAAGCAGGACCTAACTCAAAATTTGGTCTCTGATGTTTCTTATAGTTACTGTTAACCTAGAGGATACTAGGTGCCAGGAGCTGAAGTAGGTGCCCTGATGGGTGCAAAAACGTCTGCTCTCATGCACCTCAGATTATTAGCAGATGATAGAAAACAATAACTAATTATTTTTTAATTTATTAGATTTTCATTTAATCCTCAGGGTAAAATGCTATAATTAAACGCATTTAAAAAAGAGCCCATAAGAAAGGTTCATGCCATGGGCAATTTTGATTGTGGTGGTATTGGTGGTAATAGTGATGGTGCCAGACAGTGGATATGTTAAGCGTGATCTGGGGTGTCTGGAGGAAGAGCTATGTTGGGGATCAGGAAATACTACTAGAATTGGCATTCTAGATGGCTGTAGAAAGATGAGCAAGATTTTGGCAAGTAATTGGTAGACAGTGGGGAAAATTGTCCAAGACTGAGTAAAAGCACAGATGTAGGAGCTAGAGATACACTGGAGAAATAATGACTAGTTTCATCTGGCTGCTGTCTAGAGTATCCTAAGGGCAGAGGGAAAGGAAGATTCAGTTATCCCATGAAAGCCTGAAATGCTAGTATGAGGACTATGAGATTACTAGAGTAGGCAGCAGGGAACTGTTAAAGCCTTTAAATCAGGGAGCAATGTGTTTTCTGTTCAAATTTGTTAACAGTTAAATAATTCTACTAAACTTTATTGAACGCCCACTATGTACTAGACACTGTGATTGATGCTGAGGACATAAAGATGAAGAAGGCATAGTTTGTCTTCAAAGATGGGAGAAAGACATGAAAATAATCTAAAAAATAGCATGTTGCATATACGGTATGTGTACTGGGGGGACAAGCAGCAGCCAGGGGAGGCTTCCTTGGAGGAAGTGATAGGTCATCTGACTTATAAAGGTGGAGCAGATATTCATAGAGGACAAAGAAGAAAGGTGTTGGAGCAGCGAGGAGAGGGACTGAAAAGAGCCATTTGTTGGTAGTATCTCTAGGCTTTGTCAAATCTGATAATGAAGAATTTTTTTTAAAGTTCTCTAATATTCTAAACCTGTACCGCTGGGAGGAGGTGATTTTATTGATAGAAGCAGGGAAGTCAAAAGTGTCAGGAGAAAAGGATAAGTTGACTGAGGATGGACCAGTAGTGCAAGTGATGGGTTTGTTTGGGAGCACTTTGAGTTAATGAAAAACCATAGGAGAGTCATGACTAAATTACCGTGAAGGCAAGATGAGAACCCAAAGGCTGTTAAGCCTTTGCTGAGAAGTGAAGATAGATGGGTGAGATTCTGTCCCCGGTTTCTTTATACAAGATGCCCTTCTCCTATCAGCCTACAGCTATATCTTACTTTTTTCTGTGCACAATAGTTCCTGCTAGAGCAGCTCTTTGTTTCATTCTTGGCCTCCTTTGTTTCATATCAAGGCCAAAATCTTTTCCCTACATCATAGCAAATGGGTTCATTCTTCTTTTTGCACTTGTGGTTCCAGTGTTATCTGGAAAGAAAAGGAAGCAAATCCTGAAGCTAGCACATCTTGACTTTTCATGGA